AAACTTATCTGGAGTAACATTTTCCAACCAATTTAGATGGTTTCAGACGTGCCGTGAGCCTGGAAGACTGTCGACGCTGATTAGGGAAATGTTTTAACAGTTTCTGTCTGACAGAGAATGCGCACTCTCCGCCAGCCAGACCAAGTCGATATGACGTCTAGACGGCGAGACTTACCCATCCGTCCGTTGCCTTAGGTCCGGGTTGGATCATATTCTCGTCGATTTGGCTTCGACCGGAACTAAATCGAGCTTCAGCGCCTTTTTACATGCTCGTTTTTAACTTTTCCCTTATTTTCCCGTGTGGAAAATGGGAAAAGGGCGCGTCCGTCTTGCTGTTGATGTCAGGCAACCTTGAACTACATTCTCCCAACCCCTACTGACCTCGATAAAATAGGAAGTATGTTATTTTTTAATAGGTCTAGTTTATTTCTTGGTGAGTTTTAATTTAATAAAATTGCAATAATAAAACAAAAATTCTTGAAAACCTAAATGCAACCCTTTAATTGCTTTAGATGATTTATTATAATATAGTAAATCATTCCATAATTCTGTGCTACGTACTGTCACATTGAATCAATTTTTTGCTACCGTTTTCTACCGTCCAACTCATATTATTAAAATCTGTTTCGAATACCACCCCCTAAAATTAGTCATCCTGACAACGCAAACGTCCATGTATCCAATAAAACGGACAAATTATTCAGATTGTTAAAATGTAATTTAAAAACCCGACTTTCGATTGATAATTGACGTTGACAGCAGTTACATCGAATATGACTGCTTATAATCGCTGTTTAAAATCAATACAAGCCCACGACGCTGATCTTGATTGAAGTTTTGTCAAAGTATAATAAAATAAATGTCAAAAGTTTGGTTGGACTTTTTTAAACCGATAAGTGGCTTACGTAGAGAAACACGTGCTAATGAATACTGTGTAAAACCAAAAACTATGTTACATAAATCTAGAAGAGTTAGAAACCTTACCAGTAAACGTAGGTACCAAACCTACATATAAATATCTAAGAATTGAGAAAAAATGAAGGGTATTTTTGTATATTTTTAAGTACAAAGAGAAATGTTATAAGCAGTAATATAATTCATTAGTTCAAGATATCTGTAGCGGCATTAGAACAATTTAAAAAAAAAATCTACTAAATCAGCGGTAAAATATACTCAAAGGACCCGGATTTTGTTCGTATTTTGTTGTTTATTTCAAACTATATGTATTTTTAATGCTACATTAATTACAATATAACCAAATTCAACGAGATCAGAAATTCATGAGTTTTAATAAAAATTCTTTCATTACGAAGGTTGGAAAGAAAATTCACCAAAACAACGAAAAATAATTTTGTACTAGATTCAAATTTAATTAATAATTTATTACCTATTTTGTTCATAATAACGCTTAATTCCTTCTCTGGCCTCGCAGAGGACTTTAGTCTCCCAGGCATCGAGTAAATAATCGACCGGATTTCCTCTTGTAATACGGAATCCTCCGCTCGACAAGAGCGTTTGATCTGTACCATGTGTGTTATATAAGATTCATGTCAGGAGGACGTGCTAGCCAATTTATTGCGGTAATCCCCACATCCTCCAACAAATGGGTGACAACTCGAGCTACATGCGGTCGAGCATTATCATGGATTAACTCAAAGTTGTCCCCAATAAATGAAGCGAATGGAACCGTAGCTTCCAGAAGACCTTCCTCAATGAACCAGGGAGGCAAAAATCCATTCTATATGATAATCAGGTCGGTACGGACCGGTATATGGTATCTCCACTTCTTCAACACAAACGTTCCCGGTCCTCTGATTGTGATTGCCATGAACAGAACCGGCACTCATCTGGGAAGAGAACAGCTTCCCATTGTTCTAGTGTTAAGCGAGATGGTGAATAGTCGCCTTTCTACCTCCGGGAGTTGAGACTAGGCTATTATAACGATGCCTTCTGATGACTGTTTTATATCTCACCCTTACATTACGGTCCGTTTCAAGTTGACTACCTATCAAGGAAGCTGTTAAATGACGGTTCCGTATTGCGGTAAGAGCGATAAAACGATCGTCTCTAGTCGTCGTGTATCGCGGTTTAACATTACGACGTTCTCTTCGACCAAAAATTTCGATGACCCTAAGCTGTTGGAGAACGGCGTGGATTATAGAGCGCGGCACACCCAGGACTTGCAAAAGCATCTGCCAGGTCGAGATCGTCCCGAGTTAATACCATGTTTTTAAGGGATGGTCGGGGCAAGAAAACGTTTTGTATAAAAATAATGTAAAACAAGCGAAATATGTTTTCTTCTAAAATGTGTGATTAATTTAGTTTCCTTTTCTTGGTTGTTGTTGTCCTCCTCTTCTTTTTATACATAAAAAATTTCTTTTTAGTAGGCCTTTATGTTGTAAGTGTTTTTAAGTAAATTATTATCTTCTGACGTTTCGGCTGCTGTGCCATTTTCAGAAACTTGCGTGTATATTTTATTTTTGAAAAAAAATTACATTATTCATTATAATATTTAATATAAAAATTGATAATTAATTTATTAGTAACAGTTACTTTAAAACTTATACAAACTTTAAAAAAAATAAAGGTTAACAAAAGTTGCAAAACATTGAGTTACCAAAAAAGATTTTTTTTTTATGGTAAGATAAAGTTAGCATCTTTCTGAACCAAAAATTAGGTTCTTTTCTATATTATTGTAATGGTGTTTAATTGCTTTTTTACCAGGATGGTTTATAATTACGAACTTTCTGGCGTGAATTTGTCCAAAGGGGAAAGTTATTCATATCGGATAGATATTGGCAGACAAAACGAAAAAATATGACCTCCATTCGAACGAATATGACCGAATCATAGATTGGTTGTTGTATATTCTCCAACTTGAAAAACCATCAAACGTAACTATCCTCAGTTCTTGACACCCTCAGCAGAAGTTGAAAACAAACAATAAAGACTTTATATTGAAAATAAAACACACTGCAGACCGGTTACGGCTGATTGAAATTTTAATTTGCCTAGATATTTCTGATAATGAACAAACGGAAGCAAGTTTCACCTATAACAAGGACTTACGAGCTGATTTGACAAACGACTTCATTGGATGGGATAAACATAGCTGACCCGACCTGGCTCCAATGAATCAAATATTGTCATCGTCTATGATTTATTCTGGCGAAGAATCGAAATCCTGGATTATTCCGGACATTGCTACGAGATCATTTCGTCGTTGTTCCAAGCGACTCCATTTAACCAGCTTTGGAGAATAACTATCATAGAAATAATGTCCCTTTACTAAAAAGTATCCCAATAATGCTTACAACGTCGCACATAACGCATTTGGAAAGCTAAAGCGAAAAACGCAATTTATCACAAAATAGCATAAATCAAAACAATGAAATTGAGGTTATTTACGCAACTACTGAATTGGGTGAAATGTACCTGACCGGCCTTTTGAAATTTTCCTTTGCTAAACTAGCAATTGATTCATAAGTCGCCGCAAAGGGTTTTGAACACTTTCTTGAGAATAATGACGTTGGTCGAATTCAACGATAAGTGGAAAAGCAGAGTTTCCAGACTGTTTTGTGTGATATTTCTTAGGTGGAAATTGTTTTTAAGAAATTGAACTTTTCCTGCTTTGACCTACTTTTGGAACTTTCAAACGTGTTTCTTCCGTTTCTTTCTTTGTCATTATTTTGTGAAAATTTCTGGTTTAGGAAACTTACACATGGTAAGTAAAGTAAAACCTAAGTTTAAAAGAGCTTCCGAAATAGCACACTAGCAAATTCATTAATAGAAGACCGTGCTAGTAACGAGGGTGGTAGTTTGGGTAGTACCACCCAAAAGATTCTTTACGTTAATACATCTAACATGATTAACACTATTTGCAATAAAACATTTATATCGCCAGAACTTAAAATACGTAAATTACATTATATAAAGAATGGACCACAAATTAGCTGTTTATTCGAACGTATTAAAATATAAATAAGGATTTTTTGTGAAGTATGTTAGGTGAAATCTTGCTACCCTGGTCTCTTTGATATCGCACTGTTTGGTGCTGACATTTTCTATTCGTTATGCAGGATAAGGAAAAGGCATGGAAAGAGTTCTAGATTGTAGCATAAAGAAATTCAATTTTTTTATCATTATGAATGTTCAAATATTCAACAAAGCTTCACAAAAAACATTGCTGAACGAGAGGCAAGAAAATAACAACAATGATTTGTTTCTTAAAGATGTACTCGGATAAACAAATTCTGTGATTCCTTATTGATCTGAGGTTCTTTATAAAATGTGAAATAATACATAAACCTTAAAAATGTTGTGTAAATCATAAAATAAACGTGCTTACAAGAAAACATTTTCATAAAGAGCAATCGTTCCAATGATAGTTAAACTAGCGATAGCACAAGATGAAGTTATGGCAAGATATGACGGACCACAAGGCAAAAAACGCCAACCCAAATCTTAATAAAGCTATACATCTCGGTTCTTTGTGACCAGTTTTAGGTTTTTTGACATTTTATTGCGCATTTAAAAAATATTAGAGGTCTTTATTTATTAAAATAGAGTTGCCTTGTTGGAAATAAATAGAAATAATAAAAATAAGTAAAAGAAAAATAAATTATGAAAACTTGTGTGAATTGAAATTTTGTTAAAAAAATATTCTCAATGAAAATGTATTTTATTGTTTAATTTAGAGTTCATTAAAAGCCGGTAGCAGCTACGTTTTAGGCGATGATACGGCGCCCATCATGTATGGTAACGGTCCCAGGTTCGACTGCTGGATACATACTTACAAATGGGTTTAGGTTTATTTCAAAATCACCACCACACCGAGGGTTCATATAACCTTGTCGTTGAAATACCCTAAAAAAAGTTTATTAAAAGTTTGCATCAGTTGTTTGAGCCATTTATATTGAACAAGGGAATGTATATATTTTAATAATAAAAAAACAACTCAAAATTAAGGCATTGTACATAAAAAACAAACATATGTTTCGTGTAAGAAATTTCATTTTATTTGCATAAATCAGTGATTGCTGCTTAATGGCTTAGGCAACAATATACTTCATTCTACGTGATTTTCATGCTAGCACATCCCACATTGGATCCAGATGAAACAGGTGCTTCGTCAACAACAACCGAAGAAGAGATCCAACGAAGTCCCATTACAGGTAAAAAGGCTAGGAAGGTTTTTTTTCTGAAAGTATATCTCGTGATCACGGCACAATTTTTGTTTCATCTCGCGATCGTCTTGACATTCGTTTTTATACCGGACCTCAGAGAATTCTTCTTCGACTACTACTGGCTGGCGTACATTTTTATGGGTGGTCTCATTCTTATAATCATCATTCTTGCGTTTTCAAAAACACTAAGGACCTGTTTCCCCTTGAACGTTTTCTTCCTTATGCTGATAACAGCACTGATCGGACTTTGTTTCGGGATGCTGACCGCTCAAGTAGAGGTGTACGGCGTCGTTTACGGTATAGCGGCCACTGCGGCAATAACTTTCATCATGACCATATTTGCTGTGTTTTCCCCATTTGATATCCTCAGCAGAATCATGGTCTTCCTTCTTGTATTTTTAATAACAACGATACTCGCTACGGGAACGTCGTTGGTCGCTTACCTCTTCGATATCGGACTTCTGCAACTCGTCATCACAACAGCGCTTGTCATCACCGCGTCGCTGTACTTCTTTTTCCTCACAAAGCTGATCATCGGAGGCCATTTAGCCAAGCTGGAAGAAAACGAATGGATATCCGCCGTCATTTTTCTTTACTGTGCTGCTGTCAGGTTGTTGTCTACGGCCGTCGAGGTCTGCTTCGGTTTCTGCAGGTCGTATTGAAAAGTCAACATCTTAAGAACCGTTCGACGGACATGCCCTCGTCGACGGCCATGCAGATCTGAAGGACGGGGCACTGCTCCTTACTAAGAAATTGCCTTTAAATATCTAAAAAACGAGGAAACAGATGAAATAGGTTTACAAAAACAAATGAATTTGAAAATTATATAACATCCATGTGATTCTACCGAATTTCTCTTTAAAATTTCAAAAATAAAATGTCCCGCTTTCTTCTGAATAAAACATATTATGACGTTTCCCGAGTTTCTCACTCTATCTCTATCCTTCAAAACCATGTCTACCGGGAGTATGGTCATTTCTTTTTAAAGAGCTCCAGCAGTAAATTTGTGCTCGTTTTATAGATTCAGGGTGCAGAGATCTGTTAAGTGAGTAGCGTAAGTGGTGTTCTATGACCATGTTCAAACCCCACATCATATACCATTTATGTTGTCCCGCTAAATCAATATTCAATCATTTAATAACGTTTATGTATATATCATTAAATCTGTTACGTCATCAACAGTTCTGTATAAAAGCTTTTACAATAGCGATGTATCAATGAAAAAGTTCATTTGTATGTATTCACATTTATTTGAATCTAGTACACCGTTTTTGAAATTTTTATGTTTCATGCTATTTGGAAGCAAAGAAATCGTATTTTATTTTAATTTGTAAATATTTGGAGGCTTTTTACATATAATTTTACCTTAATTTACACATTTTTGTCCATCTTTAATAAAATAACCCAATTTTTGAAAATCTAAAAAGTAGCGAAAAACGTAGGTGGTTTTCAGAGAAATAATGCGTTCAAAACGTAAATAAAAAAATTCGATTAAAAGAGAACGGGAGAATCTTCTATCATAGTCGAACGTAGGTAACGCCTTTCCTAGAATCACTGCGCATAATATACATATAATATATTATATAAATTCTTTGATATCAATCATAAAAATGTTTTCCTTAAAGCCCCGAATAGAGGGTTTTAACGGATAACTATCAAAATCTATGATCCCAGATAGAAGTCACCATATATTAAATTTTGAAATGTTTTTAAAAATTTAAGGACTTTATTGAAAAACTTGAACAAAAATCAACATGAAAAAAAGGAAAAATAAATTATGGAAATACATATACTCATACAAAATTTAGCTTATATTCCAACCAACATTTTATTTTGATTTGGGAAAATAGCCAAAAATAGATTCCTCTCACTCCAAATTAAATTCCAACATTCAATTGGCACCTAATTAAGCATTGTCAAAAATTTAAGAATGTACATTGTTTGAAATAATTTTGAAGTTTAAAATTTTAAATTTTTATTTGATCACTCTTATGTTACACTTGTAACTTAAACATTTAAAAAAACGCGTTTTTATATTATAGATTTTTTTGGATTAAAAAATACATTTTTGTATATGAAAAATTAAAAATAAATTTAAAAATTAAAGGTTTATTTTCTATTTAATGAACTCGTTATATTCTTCCTTTTTTCCCATTATCGAATGTGTAAATCATAAAATTCTATTAAAAAATGTATAACTACATTTTTTAATTTTCCATATTTTTCTTTTTTTACTTGCATATTTATTAAGTATTTTATATTTTGTTTCACATATAAAATCATGTTCCTGCATGGTGTCACCCTCCATATGTCTAGAAAAGAGTTTAGAGTTAGATCTCTATAAATTGATAAATGAAGGAATGGAATATTATTAATAAAATAATAAAACATAGAGAAAGGTCGATGTGAGAATAAATAGGTTCAGATAACATTTTATCTTTTAATCAACAGCAATTGGCTAAATTACCTTACTTGCTGGTAATACATCTAGGTAATAAAATGATACAGTCGTTCGTAAATAAAAAATAAAACTTGCTTAAATGTTTATAAAAAAGTAAATTGATGTATTACGATGTGAAAAACAAAAATGATAAAATTGCATAACTATACCGTTTATAATTTTTGAACGTAAATGTTGAAAAAGATAGTTCTACTAACAGATGAAAAAACCATAGAAGTCTTGTTAATTGTGTTATAATGTTTTTGTAATAATCAGTTTGTGAGTTTTGGTCTATTGAATTTTTATTCTCCATTAAAATCATTTTTTATTATAAAACCTCATGCTATAAAATTCGTTATAAATATTTAACCATTATTCTCTATATATTTGTGAAAAGGCAATTATGACTGAATACTAATATTGCTGAATATAACATTCATAATATTTTAATCCTTGTCCCTAGCAGTTTCATTTATTGATTATTCTCGTTCCCATTTTTTCATTCAAAAACCCTACCCCCTGGGGAAATACACTCAAAAACAAAAAGTATATAAAACATAAATAAACGGACAGTTGAATTTATTGGTTTATTTTCCATAATAACTGGGTATAAAGATTAATAGTTGACTTCAAATTTAAAAACAGCCTTTATATTGTTACTAATCCATTTACGCTCTTTATATTAACAATTAATAATATCAGTTCAATTTCAACCTTACGAAAGATACTTAATTTGTTTTTTAAATTATTTTCTTTTTTGAAACAATAAAATTGACTAAAATTTTTTTTTCGGACGTAGCGTCCGTTACATAGCCCAAGTCTTGAGCGTGCAGCGCTCTACCATCCATGATGACTTACAGCGGTTTAAAGCCACCGGAATTCTCGATGAAGAGAATGTAGTGCTCGCGATGACCTAGATATCCCGCTTCAGGTTTTCTATTGGTGAGGCATCGAGTAGTAAGGCGAGTAGTAAATGAACGTCTCACTACGATATTTGAACAAAGGGGCGTTGTTCTCTCCATGGATGTGTGCCGGTTTAGTTAATGACAATCAGATGACTGGGGCCGTATGTAGAGAAGACGAGGAAAACGTTTTACTTCATATGCCCAATGTGAGTCGCTGCCTTTTCAAATGCAGTTATGGTATGGGGCAGAATCAACGTCGATGCTTGGGTACGGGCGGATTATCATAGATATGGATGGATCTTTGACTTCATTAAGGTACGTTGAGGAAGTTCTGGAAGCTGCTGGACTGGTCCCATTCGCTTTACTTATTGGGTACAACGTCGAATTAATGTGTGATTAATGATGATTAATGATGATGGTGAACTTGACCACAATTACCTCGAGTTGTCATCCATTACTTGGATGGAGGACATTGAATTGGCTAGCTCGTTCTCCTGACATAAATCTCATAGAATAGTTGTGGGCCATGATAAAGAGACGGGCTAGACACCTCTGCCTCCATCAAGCGTAGCACAGCTTCAAACCGTCCTTGTTGAAATATGAGATTCTGTTTAACAAGATGAAATCCGATCTCTTATTTACTCGTTGCCTAGGCGACCTAAGGCTCTCTGCAAGGCCAGAGAAGGTAATACGCGTTATTAAGAGCAAAACCAGAAAATAAATTGCTAATTAAATTTTCATCTACCACTAAATGATATGCCATTGTTTGGGCAAATTTTCTTTCAAACCATCATAATTAAATAACTTTTATTACAATTGATAAAGTTTGTATCTCATACACTTGGATTACATTAAAATAAGTATGTTGTCATTCATATAACAATAAAAAATACATATAGTTTGAAATAAACTATAAACTACGAGTGCCCGGTTTTTGTCTTTGAGTGTCGTTACACAGATCAGGATAATCTGGAACAAAAATGTAAACAATTACAACGTTGCATTTGAATTATTTCATGTTTCTCTTATTATTTTTCGTCTTTTTATGTAACACTTCTCTTGAGATATCGAGTTAGCTAAATATATTCTACTTAGTTATAAACGATTTATTCTAGGGAGGGTGATTCCAGAGAATAAACGATCGATTTATAATAATATCAATGTTGAAAATAATAAGTTAGTTTGTTACCGAGAAATTCAGATTTATGTTCACACTCGAAAACATCGTAGCTGACCAGATCAATTTCAACTGCTTGGAACATTTCATCCATTCGCCGTCCCATTCAATGCAAATCGTATGTTTTTTATTGACATTATGGCCATAAACGGCCCGATGATCGAATGATGGCCGGCCCTGAGCTGACGGTATCCTTTTGCCATAGCTCGCGAAGGTGTAAATTACACAATGAAATACTACCGACAAATAGGAAGCTTCCTTCTTGACATACTTTCACTTAAGATGACAGTGATACCAAAATAAGAATCTGAAAGCACAGCAATGTTGCTTATCAACTACATACGTTAGCTAAAGTAGGTAATTTTTGCCACTATGTATTATTTTTCTAATCATATATCAAATATATCAACAAATGTAAGATAGAAATTCAAATAAATTTGCGCTTTAAAAAATTTAACATATATTTCACCAAAATCGTCCACCACTTTATTACAGTCATATTATCCGACATTTCCCTGTCGTATCCCGTCTACATTTACATACTTTTATAAATAGGTTTCTTTCAAAGAAAACACAGACCGAAAAAATAGATATCTGACAAATTCTGATTCAGTCCAGAAGCTTAGATCAGGTCGCCATTCAACAGTCGATGTCGCTGAATCACTCGAGAATTTATATTCTATGGATTATTCCAGGATTATCAAGCTACAACCGGATAACGATAACGTCCACAATTGGAATACCACCATAAGACGCCATCTTAGCAAACTTAATGCCTTTAAATGGAATAAAGGAACATAGTGACAAGACAACGTATCGCGACAATTTTCGCGTTCGCAGAGAAAAATTTACAATACACGAAGAACATAGACCAGCTCTAACTCTTTATTACCTTGCAGTTTCGCCATCATAATATCTTCAGTCTATTCGATGGCTTCTATTTCTTCACCCTCTTTTTGGTATTAAAAATTTATCTGAATTAAAGTAATCATCATCATTAACAAAAAAAAAACTGGCTGAAAGTTTGCATAAATTGGTAGAATATAATGACATATTTGGACAAATGAATTTCCTAAAATTCCTAAATCAGTATTGGATTTGCTAAAAATAAATTCCAGATGATGATAAATAAATAGCACTCCAACAGGTAATGAGGTGTACATAGTCTATTGGCAACACTACAGCAAAACTTAAATATAATTAAATATATTTTGCGAATTGGCAGTAAAAGATAAATTGTTAGGGGGTGGTGAATAATGAGAATTGTTTTTCCCTAAGGGTAGAATTATTTTCTT